GTTTTATATTTGCAATTATATATCCTTATTGTGTTTTGTATGTAACTGATCTACTATTTTCATATTTGATGTTATGTAGAAGGACGGGGCTGGACCAAAAAGCAAATGAGGTATGTCTTTGTATAATGACTTTTCAATTCAAGAAAGTACGACTAATTTCATTTTTATGATAAAGATTATGTGACTAAATAGTACTCTAAATCATTAAACATTTTTATTTATATAATTCATTCAAGCAACAGGGATCTTTTTCCGTTTCTCTGTCTCAGCCGTCCTCTCTCCGCTGTGGCCTTCAACATCCCATTCCCACTGGACAGTGATGTTGATGTTGTTATGGGCAATCCTCTCTTCCGTTCCGTCAGCACAGACAGCCTCACAATGGTAACCAACCCCGGTCCTTACACGCCCCCAGAGGATCTGAGTAAACTCATTGGTCATGCTCCTCTAGGAGAGTTACCAACCATAGAAGAAGCATTACAGATTTTTCATACTTCCCGTCCAGTACACAATGAGCCCCGGCTGCGGCCAGAGGGAGCTCCGTCTGGCTTTTACCTCCACTCCCCTGAGGGGGGTGAAGCCAGACTGAGCAGCTCTGCTCCCTGCCGGTCTGGGATTATGTATCGACCAATTGGAGGAGGGCCTGATAGCTGTGGGAACCGCAAGCAACAACCTGTTGGTTCACAAGAAAACCATGAAGGTTTAGAGTGCGACACACCTGAAGACTCTCCCAAAACCTCCTCCAGCCCAGCCAACGGGCCCAAGACTGGTCGCATGACAAACTTTGCTGAACGCAGGAAGAAGATGCCAGAATCCCCAAGTAATTCCAGGTCCCAGGAAGTGGAGTCGTTGTTGAGCCCTGCAATGATGAGCCCCGTTGGGGCAGTGGAGGCGCAGGAGCTAGGTGCACGTCTGGAGGAGAAACGTAAAGCTATCGAAGCTCAAAAGAGGCGGATCGAGGCCATCTTTACCAAGCACAGGCAGAGGCTGGGCAAGACTGCCTTCCTTCAACTCCAGAAGAAACAGGGGGAAGAACTGGAAGATGAAGGACAATCCCTCACTCTGGATGAACGACTGACACGAATGGAGCAGCAGCTCCAACAAGAGGAGGACAGAGAGAAGGAGGATGAAAAAAAGAAAAAGGAGGAGGAGAAGAAAGAAAATGATGGAGAGCAGAAGAAGATGGAGAACGCTGGTGATGTAGTAGCTCCACCTAAACTGGAGAAACAGGTTACCTTCTCTGTTGAAACGAAGAAAGAGGAGGGGAAAGAGCCACCATTGGGGGAATATAATGAGGCAGTAGCCAAGCTAACCTCCACCCTACAGTCCCTACAAAGGGACATGCAGCACCTTACAGAGCAGCAGCAAAAGCTCATGGGAAAGAAAACTCTGAGTTCTCCAAAAAACATCCCCTCAAATAAGACACCTACCTCCAGCAAGGCCTGGGTCATCCCGGCTGGTTCCAAATCCCCTGCTACACCCCCTCATCTTTCTAGAGAGTCCACCCGTATCATTTCACCCTCTGGATCTCCATCACGCTCCGGACAACTTTCTGACACACCAAGATCCCCTAAAAGCTCAGTAGCATCTGCTCCACGCAAATCCCGTGGCGCTGCTTCCAAGAGCCCCAAACGGCAACGTCCCTCCCGCCCCACAGACCTCGGTTTCCAGCCTCTCACACGTGTCCTTACGCCCCCACAGAACGTGGACACGCTTCCCCATCTGCGGCGAGTCTCTCCAAGCCAGTGCCAGGTGCAGACCTGCTCCTCGCTGCGATTCGGTGGTCCATGCACGCCCCAGGACTCTCCACCGCAACCTGCTCCGCCTCAAGAGAGCACCTCAGAATCTGGCTCCAGTGACCATCACACCCCAATCTTCAACCTGGAGCTGGAGGCTGGACCACCTTCTGCACTCCCAGCTGAACTGTTAGGAGGTGGGAATAGCTCAGGAGCCCCATCAGAGTGCTCATTTGAAAGCGACATGCTGCTCAGCAGCGCCCTGGTGAAAGATGAGACCGAGGGTGCGGGGACGGTGGGAGACGACACGGATCTGGAACAGGGTGCAGAAATATTCTCATCGGATTCCATGAGCGACCAGACAGAGAATGAGAGCAAGATGGGACTCGATGTGTTCTTCAAGGTTTGTGAAGGTCTGCTTGCACTTTGGCTAATTGTACATGTCTGAGGTGTTTGTAACGTGCGTCTTTGTGGGTGTTCAGGAGGAGGGTCTTTCGGAGGAGGAGATGGCCCAGAAAAGGGCTCTGCTGTTGGAACGACAGCAAAGACGGGCTCAAGAGATCAAGAAACGTGCAAGACATGAGCAAGACCCTGAGAACAGGTAAGAACATCTACTTGTCCAAACCCGTTCATTCAGGACCTTCATTTAGAACTCACTGATCTCTGCTCTCTCCAACAGTCCACAGGCTTCTTTTGATGACCTGCGACCTTCTCAAACTCCGCTGCTTTCACAGTCACTGCCCACTTTATACACCCCACCCCCTCCATCAAAAGCCACGCCCCCAGGAACGCCCCTGCGGCGAGGAGCGTTTACCAGGGCAGAGTATGAAAGGCGTCTGCAGCTAAAGATTATGGCTGATCTAGGGAAGGTTCTCAAACAGAAACCAGCAAAGCACAGCGGCAAAAAACAACATGCACACAAACCGCACAACAACCATGAACTTACTCACACACGCTCACCGGGGAAGAACAAAACAGGTAATCACACATCATTAGTACTTAAATTAGTACCTGAAGTGGGTAACTACTAGCGTCACCAAACAGAATTGCTCTCTGTCTGTATGAGTGAAACAGCAACATTTGCTCAACCAGAATAAGTTTGGGGCGGGACTGTCAACCTGTTTGTTGAGCAGTGTCAGATGGAAGTAGAGTTTGAAGCTGTGTTGTATTTTGCTCTAAAACCAGTTTTGTTCACTCACACAGTTGTCGCTAACATGAAAGTTGGCGCATCTCTATCAACTGAAAAGCCAGCGAGGTACTGTACCAGAGCTGCCATGTCTTTCTGTCTTCTGTCTTCCATACATCTTTGTCTTTACTTTGTCTAAAGCTTCCTCTCTCACTCTACATCTCAGTTGTTCAGAGTCGCCCTCAAATGTGATGTCATCAGGGCAGTTGGCCAATCAGAATGGGGAAAAAGACTGGGAACATGCCTTCAATGCCTCCTCTCCAGCCTCACTCCCAGAATACACAGGTAAAGAGCCAGTTATTGATTTTAAGATCAATTTCCATGTTTGAAAAGAAGTTAGGGTTAGTGTGAAATTTTAGAGCTATTTAAGTCATCTGTAGTTCTGTATGTGGTCGCCAATTTGTTCTGAGTGGTTACTAGGAAGTTTTTTTGTGGTGCTAGACTGTTTCTAAGGTGGTCTTGAATAGATTTTAAGGATTACTAGGCACCTCCTAGGATGATCTGGGTAATCTTTTAGATGTTCCTGTAGGATTAATAAGGTTTTCTCAGTGGTTGCTAGGGCACTGCTTAGTAGTTGCTAAGGTGGTCTTTTGTTTGTGGGGGCATTGCTAGGTGGTTGCTAGGCTGTTGTGAATAATTGCTAGTTGGCTTATAGGATGTTCTGCGTGGTTACTGGAACTTAGCTGAGGTCTTCTGCTAGTGGGTAACTGGGCTGTCCTGAGTAATTGGCGGGCAATTTCTAGGATCTTCAGGGCAGTTGCTAGAGCAGGACTGAAGATAAGGTTTTCTAGGTGGCTGGTAATCATAATAACACCCTTCAGAGGTTTAACTGCACTGTGTAGAACAGGTAAGTATGAATTCAGATCAAGTGGTTTGACCCGTTTTGAAAAGATGAAGAAATTGCACCACCTGCTGGCTGTAGTCAGTACCTTATTTGATCTGTGTGGTTTTCTAGTTCTCTGTTTAGTCAAAATGTTATCTTCTGTTTCAGGTCCTAAATTATTTAAGGAACCCAGTTTTAAATCAAACAAGTTCATCATTCACAACGCTCTCTCACGCTGCTGCCTTGCTGGCAAAGTCAATGAATCCCAGAAAAACAAGATCATAGAGGTGCGTCACTGTTCATCTTTCTACAAAGACATTACTCCCTTTGTGCACTTTCACTTTCTGACATTCACATTGCCTCCTGTCTCTCTAGGAGATGGAGAAGAGCTCCGCCAGTCACTTCCTGATTCTCCTGCGTGATGCCAACTGTCAGTTCCGTGCCATCTACACTCTAGACGGCCAGTCGGAGGAGCTGCATCGACTCTGCGGCGTCGGCCCGCGTGCCATTTCCTCGTCAGCCGTGGAAGCCATTTATAAATACAGCTCCGACAGGAAACAGTTCAATACGCTTCCATCTCGTACCCTGAGCATGAGTGTCGACGCTTTCACTATCCCCGCCCATCTCTGGCACACTAAGAAACATGGCACGCCCAAAAAAGTAGCAACACCCAAATAGACTCCACCTACTCAAAATAAACCACTCCTGCTGAGATGAACTGCTCCCCCTTAAATAAGCCACACCTACTGGAATAAACCCCTCCCATTTACAAAACTAGCAACACCCAAATAGACTCCACCTACTCAAAATAAACAACTCCTGCAGAGATAAGCTGCTCCCACTTAAATAAGCCACACCTACTGGAATAAACCCCTCCCATTTACAAAAGTAGCCACACCCAAATAGACTCCACCTACTCAAAATACTGCGTGGTTACTGGAACTTAGCTGAGGTCTTCTGCTAGTGGGTAACTGGGCTGTCCTGAGTAATTGGCGGGCAATTTCTAGGATCTTCAGGGCAGTTGCTAGAGCAGGACTGAAGATAAGGTTTTCTAGGTGGCTGGTAATCATAATAACACCCTTCAGAGGTTTAACTGCACTGTGTAGAACAGGTAAGTATGAATTCAGATCAAGTGGTTTGACCCGTTTTGAAAAGATGAAGAAATTGCACCACCTGCTGGCTGTAGTCAGTACCTTATTTGATCTGTGTGGTTTTCTAGTTCTCTGTTTAGTCAAAATGTTATCTTCTGTTTCAGGTCCTAAATTATTTAAGGAACCCAGTTTTAAATCAAACAAGTTCATCATTCACAACGCTCTCTCACGCTGCTGCCTTGCTGGCAAAGTCAATGAATCCCAGAAAAACAAGATCATAGAGGTGCGTCACTGTTCATCTTTCTACAAAGACATTACTCCCTTTGTGCACTTTCACTTTCTGACATTCACATTGCCTCCTGTCTCTCTAGGAGATGGAGAAGAGCTCCGCCAGTCACTTCCTGATTCTCCTGCGTGATGCCAACTGTCAGTTCCGTGCCATCTACACTCTAGACGGCCAGTCGGAGGAGCTGCATCGACTCTGCGGCGTCGGCCCGCGTGCCATTTCCTCGTCAGCCGTGGAAGCCATTTATAAATACAGCTCCGACAGGAAACAGTTCAATACGCTTCCATCTCGTACCCTGAGCATGAGTGTCGACGCTTTCACTATCCCCGCCCATCTCTGGCACACTAAGAAACATGGCACGCCCAAAAAAGTAGCAACACCCAAATAGACTCCACCTACTCAAAATAAACAACTCCTGCAGAGATAAGCTGCTCCCACTTAAATAAGCCACACCTACTGGAATAAACCCCTCCCATTTACAAAACTAGCAACACCCAAATAGACTCCACCTACTCAAAATAAACAACTCCTGCAGAGATAAGCTGCTCCCACTTAAATAAGCCACACCTACTGGAATAAACCCCTCCCATTTACAAAAGTAGCCACACCCAAATAGACTCCACCTACTCAAAATAAACCACTCCTGCTGAGATGAACTGCTCCCCCTTAAATAAGCCACACCTACTGGAATAAACCCCTCCCATTTACAAAAGTAGCCACACCCAAGTAGACTCCACCTACTCAAAATAAACCACTCCTGCTGAGATAAGCTGCTCCTATTGGAATAAACCCATTTACAAAAGTAGCCACATCCAAATAGACTCCGCCCACTCAAACTAATAGGCGTGTTCGACTCGAAGCGGCGCTGCACAGGTTTTTTCTCCATTCTGTCACCGATGGAGTTTTGGTTCCTTGCCGCTGTCGCCTCTGGCTTGCTTAGTTGGGGACACTTCATTTCCAGCGATATCGTTGACTTGATTGCAAATGATTGCACAGATACTATTTAAACTGAACTGAGCTGGATGATGACATCACTGAATTCATTTGAATTCATTCAAGTCATTTTGCATTATTGACACACTATTTTCCTAATTAATGCTGTTCAGTTGCTTTGACACAATCTGTATTGTTAAAAGCGCTATATAAATAAAGGTGACTTGACTTGACTTGCACAGACCGATCAAAGTATCGCGAGAGCGATTCAAAAGCATAAGAAGCTGTCTGCTCTCTTATCACTCTTGCGGCAATTTGATGTCATATACCAATCGGTCCGGACAGCATTGCATTAAGTCGAACACACCTAATGACTCCAGCTAAAATAAATCCCTCCTACCCACAATAGTAACCCCATCCACTCAAAATAACCACACCCTCCAAGCTAAACTATGCTGCATTCATGCCATGTCATAATTACTATAATATCGAGATGACAACACATGCCGTTCTAATCTGAGCTGAATTACGCATTCAGAATTATGCATTCAGAATTATGCATTCAGAATTATGCATTCCTATGGAAACACTATGAACTGAGGTGGTCAGGTGGTACAGTGGTCACATGGTACATGTCGTAGCTCTTAGAAAATTCCCTGTTTACAAATTGTAATTACGAGTTCTTCGAGGACGTGAATGCTTTTTACAAGTTGGTATCACGGCACCTAAACTACTCTCTCTGGAATAAACTCCTCCCACCAATAATAAACCCTCCTGCTCAAATCATCCAGGCCTACCCCAATAAACCCACTATAAGTGCCATTCCTCTAAACAAAAATCTTACCAGCACTAAATCCACAACACAAACTCTCTCTATAATGAAGCGAGTCGAGTTAGCTGTTTATGATCAACCAGAAGGACCTCCTCATGTTTTCTGACTCTGCATGAAGACAGACGAGCCCTAAGGTTTTCACGTTACTAAAGACTGAGGAAACCACGCGTCCTGTTTGCATGTGAACGTTCGGTTCAGTCCAAATATCTCTTGATGGTCACACCAACTGAGCACTTGAAGCGTTTCTCTCTGATTTTTGTGATCTATATTCTCTTCTCTTATAGATACAAACTTTTGAATCTCAAGTCTACCAGTGCTGTAGTTTTAGTGAGAATCTGCTGGGTTTCACTATCTAGTCTCTGTTTGGCTAGATGATTTTAGGAAATCTCCTGCTGCATACTCTTTCTCTCTTTTATAATATTTCATCAGCCTTTCCATTCTTCATGAACCTGTGTGGAGTAAATGACTCTCGCTTTCCTCCTGATGGATCTCCGGCCGTCCAAAGACCGAGGCATCATGTGTTGATGTGTGTGAGCAGATGTCTGGACTGTTGAACTGAGTTTGTCAGCTGAATATGGATCAGTGAGTCACGGTCATGAGAACCTGATCCTTGATCAGTATTAAAAAGCCATTGGACCTCCATCATAAGCTTCAGTGTTGGTGGCTCATGTGCTGTATGTGTGTAGACATTCCCTTCATGTGTGTGTGTGTGTGTGTTTCAGGACTGATGGGTTGGGTGAGGGTGAAAGTGTAATGACCTCATAAAAAGCATCATAATACTGTTTTTTGGACATGTACTATGGTAAATTAATATAAGAGACTTTCAGGATCATATATGAAGGACTCATGGCTTTAGCGTCTGATATATGTCTCATCACCTCCTCCTCTGTGTGTGTGTGTGTGTGTGTGACGGGCTGCTGGGATATTTTCTAATATGAGTTTTGACATCATCCTTGTGTGTTTTTCCTGCTTTATGATGATGATGATAATAATGACTTTGTGATGAACGTGTAGGTCAATAAAATCATTTCTAACATTTCAACTCCAAAGTCTGACAACAAATGAGTTTGTTGTGCTCAGGAAACATATACACATTTGGAGGGCCTATGTATACATTCATACAGAATTTGAAGTTTGAAATGGTGTTTTTCACAAGTATTTCAAAAGGGCAAAGAGTATTTGTGCCATGCTGATGAGATCACCGACACACGGTTCACACACACTGAGCGTTTACATGGTTTTGTTTAATCCTCACAGCAATGATTAATTTGCCTGTTTAATGTGCAGATGGTGAAGAGAGAGCTGCAGCATTTGTGCCTGAGGCTCCTGTGAGCGTGAGACTCTCAGACATCAAGAGATACTATTTCAGCTCCTGAACGATGAGGTTTTTTATAAAAAATAAAAGTACATCTGGTTGAAGTTCTTCAAAAACCAACATAAAGTGTGCTGCACAGTCACTACCTGACTGAACTGCACAAATACAACTCACTGCACGGCACAGCATGGCTTTACCCAAGAAAACATCGGGTTTGCACTGCATTAGTGCTTTTAATGTATATCTCGTGTAGTTTTGTGTTTCTAACTGTAACAAGCTCAGATGAGCATTAAGTAAACCTGAATTACGCTCTTACTCAGAGATGTTTCCTCACTTTTCTCATGGTTCTTCATCAAAGTACTTTTCTGAATATTTGCATGTCATTATGTCTGGAAACGGTTCTGTCCCCGGGGCCGTACGCTCTCGCCCAGGGGCCCGTCACTGTGTGACTGACGCACATGAAGACCGATTATAAAACACGCCGTCTCCAGCGTCTTGCACTACTCTACACCAGTGCCTCCGCTGACATCGTCTCCACTCACCGTCTCACGTCTCTCCACTCTTGACATGGCGTTCAGATCTCAGCGTTTCTCTGGCAGGTCTTTCTCCGCGGCCAGCAGCCGTTCGATGGCTCCCGGCAGCTTCTCCAGCTTTGGAAGTCAGTCGATGATGGCTGGAGGTCTGCAGAGCGGCGCCGGCTTGGGCTTCGGATCTGGAGCCAGTTTGGGCTTTGGGTCAGGCGCTGGATTGGGCTTCGGATCCGGTTTTGGGTCTGGTTATGGCGCAGGTGGAGGTTCTCGCTCGGCTAGTTTGATTGGGCTTCGGATCTGGAGCCAGTTTGGGCTTTGGGTCAGGCGCTAGATTGGGCTTCGGATCCGGTTTTGGGTCTGGTTATGGCGCGGGTGGAGGTTCTCTCTCGGCTAGTTTGAGGACGGTTGGAGGCTCTCTCTCGAGCACAGGAGGTGGAGGCTCCGTCGGGGTGAGTTTCAGGGCGGGCGCAGGGTCTTTCCCAGAAGCCATGTCCAATGTCATCAACGAGAAACAGCAGATGCAGGTTCTGAACGACCGTCTCGCGACCTACCTGGAGAAGGTGAAGCGCCTGGAGACCACGAACCACGAGCTCAACGAGAAGCTCCGTGCATTCACCGTCAACAGAGTCCAGAGCAGCTTCAACCTGGAGCCCTACGAGATCCAGATAAAGCCACTGCGCGAGAAGGTGCCCAGATTTTCTGCATGCGTTTCAGTGTTCAATTTTACAAATACTTCATTGGCATCGTTGTTTTTACATATGATATTGTCATATGCATATAGTGTTATAGCTACTCAAAACAATGACAAGAAAAGGAGATATACAGTATATCAATAGCAAATAACAATAAAACCGTATTAATGTGCTACGCATCTGACATGATCTTGTTTTCTCTTTCTCCAGCTTCTGCTTCTCATGCAGGACCACACACGCATCGCTTTAGCCGTAGACAACGCCAAACTGGCCGCTGATGATTTCAGAATGAAGTAAGTTTGATTCACATCAGTTTCTGACTGGATGAGCCACATTCAAAGCTTTAATTAATCACTGTAAAACATGGTTAAATGCCCATCCTCACTGACAACTTTAACTATAAGGATAACTATATTAGCGTCCACACCATGTGCGATAACTATAACTATATTAGCATCCACACCATGTGCGATAACTATAACTATATTAGCATCCACACCATGTGCGATAACTATAACTATATTAGCATCCACACCATGTGCGGTAACTATAACTATATTAGCATCCACACCATGAACAATAACTATAACGATAACTATAGCGTCCACACCATGTGCGATAACTATAACTATATTAGCATCCACACCATGTGCGGCAACTATAACTATATTAGCATCCACACCATGAACAATAACTATAACTATATTAGCATCCACACCATGAGCAATAACTATAACGATAACTATAGCGTCCACACCATGTGCAGTAACTATAACTATATTAGCATCCACACCATGAGCAATAACTATAACGATAACTATAGCGTCCACACCATGTGCAGTAACTATAACTATATTAGCATCCACACCATGAGCAATAACTATAACGATAACTATAGCGTCCACACCATGTGCAGTAACTATAACTATATTAGCATCCACACCATGAGCAATAACTATAACGATAACTATAGCGTCCACACCATGTGCAGTAACTATAACTATATTAGCATCCACACCATGAGCAATAACTATAACGATAACTATAGCGTCCACACCATGTGCAGTAACTATAACTATATTAGCATCCACACCATGAGCAATAACTATAACGATAACTATAGCGTCCACACCATGTGCAGTAACTATAACTATATTAGCATCCACACCATGAGCAATAACTATAACGATAACTATAGCGTCCACACCATGTGCAGTAACTATAACTATATTAGCATCCACACCATGAGCAATAACTATAACGATAACTATAGCGTCCACACCATGTGCAGTAACTATAACTATATTAGCATCCACACCATGAGCAATAACTATAACGATAACTATAGCGTCCACACCATGTGCAGTAACTATAACTATATTAGCATCCACACCATGAGCAATAACTATAACGATAACTATAGCGTCCACACCATGTGCAGTAACTATAACTATATTAGCATCCACACCATGAGCAATAACTATAACGATAACTATAGCGTCCACACCATGTGCAGTAACTATAACTATATTAGCATCCACACCATGAGCAATAACTATAACGATAACTATAGCGTCCACACCATGTGCAGTAACTATAACTATATTAGCATCCACACCATGAGCAATAACTATAACGATAACTATAGCGTCCACACCATGTGCAGTAACTATAACTATATTAGCATCCACACCATGAGCAATAACTATAACGATAACTATAGCGTCCACACCATGTGCAGTAACTATAACTATATTAGCATCCACACCATGAGCAATAACTATAACGATAACTATAGCGTCCACACCATGTGCAGTAACTATAACTATATTAGCATCCACACCATGAGCAATAACTATAACGATAACTATAGCGTCCACACCATGTGCAGTAACTATAACTATATTAGCATCCACACCATGAGCAATAACTATAACGATAACTATAGCGTCCACACCATGTGCAGTAACTATAACTATATTAGCATCCACACCATGAGCAATAACTATAACGATAACTATAGCGTCCACACCATGTGCAGTAACTATAACTATATTAGCATCCACACCATGAGCAATAACTATAACGATAACTATAGCGTCCACACCATGTGCAGTAACTATAACTATATTAGCATCCACACCATGAGCAATAACTATAACGATAACTATAGCGTCCACACCATGTGCAGTAACTATAACTATATTAGCATCCACACCATGAGCAATAACTATAACGATAACTATAGCGTCCACACCATGTGCAGTAACTATAACTATATTAGCATCCACACCATGAGCAATAACTATAACGATAACTATAGCGTCCACACCATGTGCAGTAACTATAACTATATTAGCATCCACACCATGAGCAATAACTATAACGATAACTATAGCGTCCACACCATGTGCGATAACTATAACTATAATAGCATCCACACCACAAGTGATGACTATAATGATAACTATATTCACATCCACACCATGAACAATAACTATAACGATAACTATATTAGCGTCCACACCATGTGCGATAACTATAACTATATTATCATCCACACCACAAGTGATGACTATCACGATAACTGTTTTCACGTCCACACCATGAACAATAACTACAACGATAACTATATTAGCGTCCACACCATGTGCGATAACTAAAACAAAACTATATTAGTTTCCACACCATCAGACAATAACTATGTCTCACAATAGCTATATTAGCATCCACACCATGAACAATGACTATAACGATAACTATATTAGCATCCACACCATGAGCGATAACTATAATGATAACTGTATCCACAGCAGTGGACATTAACTATGACGATAATTATCACGATAACTATATAAGCGTCGATACCGGCGAGTGATAACTATATTAGCATCGACACCAGTGGACGATAATGAACGATAACTATAACTATAGTGATATCTATATTAGCATCCACAGAGCGATAACTTTAACTATACTTTCGTCAACTGCCGCTTTAAATACTCGAGCTCTTTAAAGCAAAATGGATTGTGATTGGCTGTCAATGTTTTTATCGTTCACCAGCTGGAAAGAAAATCGCTCTATAGGTGATTCCAGCGATATCGTTCGTCTGTGTCATTATCGTTATAGTTGTGGTGCGGATTTCCTTTTCTCATAGCAGAACGATTACTAATGCGTTGCAGTTGTCATTATGGTGTGAAGAGTGAAAGTGAGCGTTTTAACCGCAGGTTCGAGACGGAGCTGGCCATGCGTCAGTCTGTGGAGGGTGACATCGCCGGTCTGAGGACCCTGAAGAAGGAGTACGACTCCACCAACGCCATCTTACTGACGGAGGTCACGGGCCTGGAGAAGGAGTGCGCCGCTCTCAGAGACGCGCACCAGGAGGTGACCACACTTTCCTTTCTCACAGCCATGAAAAATATTTATTTATATGATCACTTATTAATACTATAATTACATTATATTTAAACACACACATATATACATTTATTATTTATTATATATTAGTTATGTATAATAATAATTTTTTTTACAGAGTGTCTATTTACACTAAGTGCAAATTGCTCGCCTTGTTGGCAGAAGCTATTTACACTAACTCCGCCCATCCAGGCCAAAACAGAGGGGCGTTTTCGACCATGTTACCTGATTGGCTGACGTCATAGAGACGGATAGGTTTAGGGGTGGAGTCACACCCAGCAGTTTGAAAACACCCACAATGTCAGAAACGCCCACTTTTTGCTCTGCGGAGACCTCAATCTCCTTTTTGACGCGATCGACCCGAGTTCAAATCCGCCTCAAATCTCATATTGCTTCGGAAAGGCATTTATTTTTAATAAAAATGAAGGAGATAATTGAAAAGTTGAAAATATTAAGTATCGGGTAGGTGTGGGGAGGGATTCATTGTCCCAATAAGGTGGCATCCATTTAATAATTTAAATTAAAACGATAATTTACACTCAATACGTTTTATTGCATAATGTACTACAATACTGAGGTGCAGTTAATTGCCACTATTTGCAATAATAGTATAAATAGCAGAAAATACTGTTATTTTAACACACTGTACATAGAATCTATCATTATTTGCACTTAGTATAAATAGCATTTCGCTAAAAATACTCCTGTTTTCACTTAGTTTAAATAGAATCCATTGCTATTTGCATATACTGTAAATATCATCTAAGAAAATATGCTGTTTTCACGCAGTGTAAATAGCCGCTTTATATAAATGTACATATTTTTATATAACTATTTATATATTTTTATATATAAAAAATATATAATTGATTTATGTATTTTTGATAATATTGCGAGACCTACTCAATATTTAGATTTTTTTGCACCCTCAGATTCCAGGTTTTCAAATAGTTGTATCTCAGCCAAATATTGTCCTATCCTAACAAACCATACATCAATGTAAAGCTTATTTATTCAACTTCCAGATGATGTATACATCTCAATTTAAAAAAATTGACCCCTTTGACTGGTTTTGTGGTCCAGGGTCACAAATGAATATATAGAATGAAAGGGAGAGGGACAAAAAAAATGAAATGTCAATTGAGTCAATTGTTTTTAATGTTTTTTTTTATGTTTGTCTTGCTAAACACACTAAACAACACAAGCTAAAATGTTAGTTCCAGGCCTCTTTAAACTGGTTTTGTGAAACTCAGGACATGATAGCCCTGCGTGGGCAGATGATGGGCACCGTGACGGTGGATGTGAAGGAGATCGAGAGCACGGATCTGTCTCGAGTGCTGGCTGAGATGCGCTCCGAGTACGAGACGGACATCGAGAAGAACCGCCGGGAGGCCGAGAACTGGTACACCAAACAGGTACAAACAACACAGCGCTCAGTCTGGACATCTCAGCAGTTTTGTTGCAAGATCTAGCTTTTTTCTTTTTTTTTTTTTTTTATAATTTGGCAACTTTTAGCAACTTTTTAAAAGTGAATAAAATGATAAAAAGGCATAGATTTTCCCTCTAAATTACACAAAAAGTCAGTCTGTAGAGAGTTGGAGAGAAGTGCCTAGCAGTAATAGTTGAATAATAGCCAGCTGCAATAGTTAAATAATATTTCTTCATGTAAGATACCCATTGTTATTAGTTTGTCTGCTGTTGATCAGTTAGGTACACTGTAAGACAAACAGAAAAGGTACTGGTAATTTTCTGACAGGATATTATGTGTTAAGTTTACAGATATTTCCTGTAAACCTAACACAAAATATAATGCGGAATGTAAAATACAGGTAAAAATTAAATATTTAATAAAAAATTAATATTGTGCCCTGTTCTTATAGACTTTTCTGAAACTGTAGCATACTAACTAACTACCAGTATACTGCTTAAAATTATAATTGTTCGGAATGCGTAGTTTTATAGTTTATAAGAAAATACATCACAAGTAATTGTTCAAAAATGTGCAACGGTTCAATTCAGTGTAGTTTTTAAACGTGAAAATATCTAATCATTAACATGTTGTGCTCATATTACTTTTACAGATAGTCTAAATTAAATGTATCTTATTTTTATGAACAAATCTAAATGAACATATTTAGAATTATGTATTGTGGATTCTATGCAATGATGCGGTTTTGCGTCATCGTTACATAATGACGTCATCATCACCCAGTGACATCACAACATCCTGTAGCAACTTTTAGCAACAAATCAACCTGCTTTTAGCAACATTGTCAACACTGAGGCTGCTGCTGCTGTGGTTCAGGTGGAGAAGAAGCAGGCGGAGGTGGAGCTGATCACAGAGACCACCGTCAGCGGCAGCTCCGAAATCACCGGCAACCGCAAACAGAGCCTGAGTCTGCAGACGCAGCTGGACGCCACGCTGACGGAGGTAAAAACATGTTATGTCCTGTTTTTAAATGTTTTAAAAACACTTTTTCTTGGTTATGTGAATGTTAGTGAACACATTAAGTAGATTGTTTATTATTTTGCAAACATTATGAGAATGTTACTTTTGAATGTTCAAAAAATGTCCAGTTTTTAAAAAAACTTTTTCTTGCATAAAAAACGCTAAGGGAACGTTGCTATGCAAACATTATGAGAACGTTACTTTTGAACGTCTCCTTTTCGCAGAGTATGTCTTTATAAGGCATCATTCCCTCCTGACATGAAGATATGCAAAAATAATTAATAACTAATAAAAATTATGGTTTTGGCCAAATCCTACAACAGCTTCGCATGTATCCTTACAGAAAAAAATCCCAGAATGCACTGCATGCGAAAAATTCTAAGAAAAAAAAAAAGAATCCAAAATTAATGAAAAAGTCAGTTATAAACACGTTTCAAATTTAAACGTTAAAAATATAATATAATATAAATAAAATAGTTTTATTTGCAGTCACTTTCAGAAGTCCGGGGTCAGTACAATTTTTAAAACATGAATACTTCTATTCATCAAGGACGCATTAAATTGATCAAAAGTGACACTATAGGCTATTAAAATGTCCATTTCAAATCAATGCTGTTCTTTTGAACTTTCTAATCATCTGTGAATCCTGTAAAATAAAATGCATTACGGTTTGCACACAAATATTGTGCAGCACAACTGTTTCAAGCATTGATAATAATCAGAAATGTTTGTTGAGCAGCAAATCAGTATATTAGAATGATTTCTGAAGATCATGTGACACTGAAGACTGGAGTAATGATGCTGAAAATACAGCTTTGATCACAGAAATAAATTACAGTTTAACATAGATTCACATAGAAACAGCTGTTTTAAACTGTATAAATATTTCACAATTTTTACAGTATTTTGATCAAATAAATGCAGCCTTGGTGAGCATAAGAGACATCTTTTGAACCAACTCTTTTGTGCTAAGTTTACTAATGATTATTAGAGTATAGCCAGTATGCTAATGCAGAATTATTTTGTATTTGATCATGCACATCATGCTAAATGGATGCCCTGGCGTCAGATGTGTGTTTAATTGCCGGATCACCTGTGTTGTGCTGCAGAAGAGGAATCTGGAGCAGCGTCTGGTGGAGGCGCAGGCTCAGTACCAGGCTCAGCTCTTCTCTCTGGCTCAGCTGGTGGGCGGTCTGGAGGGCGAGCTCACCTCGGTGCGCGAGAACACGCTGCAGCAGAGCCACGACTACCAGCTGCTCCTCAGCACCAAGGTCCAGCTGGAGCGCGAGATCGGCACGTATAAAGCTCTGCTGGAGGGCGCCGGAGAGCCCAGCAACCTCGCCGCGCTCAAGACACCGGCCTTGAAGGTGGAGGTTGTGAAGAGTGGTCTGCTTTCATCAGCCGCTGCCGGTGAGTTACGCCTTAAGGTCCTTGCACACAGAGTCCGAAATTTTCATATGCGTTTTTTCGTATTCGTCATCCTTTCCTATCAGAATGCTTATTTTATTATGACAGAAAAAAGTTTCGGAGGCAGTGTGTAAACATGATTGACACAACGTAAGGTCGTATTTATTTTTTTACGTGTGAAAATTTCAGACGAAGATTTCGGACACAGTGTGCGATGACCTTGGGTCCAAAATTTTCGTATGCATTTTTCGTTTCTTTTTTTTTTCGTATTCGTCATCCTTTCCTATCAAAATGCTTGCTATCTGGAGCAGCGTCTGGTGGAGGCGCAGGCTCAGTACCAGGCTCAGCTCTTCTCTCTGGCTCAGCTGGTGGGCGGTCTGGAGGGCGAGCTCACCTCGGTGCGCGAGAACACGCTGCAGCAGAGCCACGACTACCAGCTGCTCCTCAGCACCAAGGTCCAGCTGGAGCGCGAGATCGGCACGTATAAAGCTCTGCTGGAGGGCGCCGGAGAGCCCAGCAACCTCGCCGCGCTCAAGACACCGGCCTTGAAGGTGGAGGTTGTGAAGAGTGGTCTGCTTTCATCAGCCGCTGCCGGTGAGTTACGCCTTAAGGTCCTTGCACACAGAGTCCGAAATTTTCATATGCGTTTTTTCGTATTCGTCATCCTTTCCTATCAGAATGCTTGCTACGGAAGCAAAAACGCAGAAAATCAAACTTGATCTGAATTTTTTTATGACAGAAAAAAGTTTCGGAGAACGCAGAAAATCAAACCTGATCCGAATTTTTTTTATGATGGACGAAAGTTTCGGAGGCAGTGTGTAAACATGATTGACACAACGTGAAGTCGTATTTATTTTTTAACGAGCAAAAATTTCAGACAAAAGTTTTGGACTCAGTGTGCGATGACCTTGGGTCCAAAATTTCCGTATGCGTTTTTTTGTATTCGTCATCCTTTCCTATCAGAATGCTTGCTACGGATGCGAAAACGCAGAAAATCAAACCTAATACGAATTTTTTTATGACAGAAAAAAGTTTCAGATGCAGTGTGTAAACATGATTGACACAACGTAAGGTCGTATTTATTTTTTAACGTGTGAAAATTTCAGACGAAGATTTCGGACTCAGTGTGCGATGACCTTGGGTCCAAAATTTTCGTATGCGTTTTTTTGTATTCGTCATCCTTTCCTATCAAAATGCTTGCTAC